AATTCCTGACCAGATAAAGGCTTGGTTTTGCACAGAAAAATATCAGTCTCATTTGTATACATCTTAAATCTATAGGGAGAATTCTCAATCCTATCTCCCATTAGAAGCTCGCCAAGATTTTCTGCACTATCCTTAACACCCTCTTTCGGCTGGCAAAATGGCAAACTATAATACCCGAAGGGCATTTCAGTTTCAATTGATGTCAAAGAATTAACCTTAACGTTCAAGAAATCACCAACCCCATACTTGTGAGGATAACTACCAGGGAGATAAAAACCATGACACAGTCGAAAAATGGTCAAGGAAACAAGCAACAACCAGATCTTGAATCTACAAAAAGATTCCATTTTTACAGTCTTCCGGGAAGATATCAGGAATAACGAAAAAAACGCCAGGAAAATTTAGGGATTGTAGTTTTAATCAAGATTTGTTTCTGGATTTGGATTATGTTTTTGGGTTTTTGAAAGGGATAGATCGGATCGGAGTGTGTGTGTGTATGAGATAATACAATGTGTCACCAAGAAAGTAAAGGGCCTTATTAAAGGGTTTTCAAATGTAAATCTTTACTGACCTTCTGAGTAAGAATTGATAGTAGTGTGCTCCGTGAAAATGAGATTTGATCCGCGGCAGATCTGCAGATGGTGTACAGATGTGGAAATTCAGAGCGAGGAGGAAGCGAGAGGAGAACACGACGTCGAATTTATAGCTTCTTAGCGTCGGTGAATCAACTAAAATTACGATTATGTCCTCGGTATACATTTTTTTCCTTTCCCGTCGACATCGTTAAGCGTCAATTCAAGTTGGTCCTTAGCCTTACAGTGTTTTATTGACATATTTATTACTTAATTAAATTATTGTTACAAAAATGGTCACTAAATTAGTGAAAGTAGCGTCCAATGTGACTTCCGTTAAATATCAAGGTTGACTGACTGACGTTAATTCCTTCGACGTGCAAGACATCTAAATTAACGTTGTTTAACGGGAGCAGTATCAAATTGGATATATTAATTAACTTTGGGGACTAAATAAATCGATAAAATTCTTTAAGAACCGTCTTGAAATTTCGTGCAAACTTCAGTCAACATTGTAAAGGTAATAATTATTACTTTTTCACTGAATTTCAATTTACATTCAGGGCGTGTTCAATCGTGCTTAAAATCCAATTAAAATTGAAAATATAGTCGTTATTGGGTCTCACTCGTCTAATAAAAGTCAACAATAACAGCTAGTTTTTCAATTTTAATCCGATTTTAATCTCTACCAAACACGCTCTAAATTAAACAATTATATCATAAGCTCGATCCAATAACCACGGGCTCATTTACATTTTCTTACATATATGT